TGCCAGCAATTCTTAGGACTCGATTGTAACTATGACACTCGTGTCCTGAAGAATATTGAACTAAACCCAATTCGTGCAATGAGTTATAAACTTTTAAACGATTTTTTTAGAAACCCTCTTACACCTCTTCTTAGCCTGTGCTAACTCTGAGAGGTGCATCTTTTCGGAGCAGTGCCTAGGTGATGCATATTTTCGAGGCAGTGCCAAAGTGGCTGATATAATATAGATCAGTTCCTTAGCTTTGTATTCTTTTTGGAGGAATCTATTAAGAAGAGGTGCCAGACCCGTCACCTCTTTCGACCCAATTCCCGAGAGGCACATTATTCTCGAGGACCTTTCCGGACTTTTCGAACTTTAGAAGCAAAGCCTCGCACTATGTCTGACAGCTGTCCACTGTCCAGAGGTCAACACAAGGTCAACTCAGTCTCGGCCGCACTAATTGTCTGCATTAATCAGTTCCATTGATGAGTCTGTGTGTGCCGCCGCCGGGATTGAAAACGACAACAGTTAATTCTCTTCATTTGCCTTCATCAGTATGAGTCGATAGCTTCTTGCGCAACTGCTGGAGTTGGCACGAAAGAGTTCATATACAAGATCCAGAAAGGGTTTTGAAGTATGGTGAGCTAATTGGAACTCTTATAGCTATTAAATCGTATGTTGATAGTTTGCGAAATCGACTCTAAGATTAATAGATCCATTCTAAAAACGTCTGCTACTTTGGTCTTACAATTCCATTCATAACACCATTAATTTGTTATTGTTTTTTCCAAACCATAGCTATAATGATTTGTTATGTATATGTAACAGATAGTAAACAGTGGTAGATAACTCAATATAGTTAACATAATAAAGTAAAAATTTCATTAAATGTTTCTAGTTGTTATAACGGTTTAATTTGAACCCAAAGAGTATGGCAGGGAGTTGAGCGGCTATAAGCTGTAGCATGTTTGTTTATAGATATTGTAATTGCTTTTCAACGCAAGTGGAATTTTAGACGCTTTCTGCTAGTGTTGCTTTGACAAATGGCATCTTCGTCTAGAATATATCTCGCTTGTAATGGATCCAGCGACCTTCATATTTTAAAACTATCTCTATGACCGTGTTCGGTTATATAATATCCAGAAAATATAATTTTTTTAAGAATAAGAAGTTATAAATGAATTGTTCATAGACCTCTTGTAAGAGCTTTGGTCTAAACCACCAACCTATCTCCAACTGTGACATTGACATTTCAAATCAAAAATCTTCCACAAAATCTCCAACGTTTCCACTTCTCGAACCACAAGAATCGATAGTTTCGACATTCCGCTGTTTGCCGCAGCTCAGATAGTCTATGATTTACTATGGGATCGGCGCCATAAACACATCAGGCCGATTTCATTTAGTCCCTGTTATCGGAGGCGGGATTTGACGCTGATAAGGAACTAACGGTGAGGCCGGCTTTGTTTTATCACATGTCAACACGGCGGCGTCCCTAGCAAACCGTGATCGGCTGTCATCCGATGATAAGCGGACATTTCGATCGGTTGTAAAAGATACATTTTGTGAAATAGGTGGAATTGTTTCAAAATTGAAATCGTGAAAACCAATCTAAACCAGAAGCATGTAACATACGGATTGTTAGTAGATCAATTATAATTCAGCTGCAAAATTTATCGTTCTTTTATTTTACCGTCTCATAGTCCTTGCCTTCCTTGATACCCTCCACGACACACTATAGAGGCATAGAGGCATAGAGTAAACATACTACCATAGGGAGTACTCCCTATGGTAGTACATGTATGTTTAATCTACGGCATAGGCCTATTCAACATAATCAACATATGTATAGATGTTGGCAGTGTTCATGATGTTTGTGTACAACATGGTGCAACTTATCCAATACGGTTCAATAGTAACTATTTTCACCCGGAACATACAGAGAGTTACATATTCGGACATAAATCATCACTATTTATTATGTTTTTGGCAAAACAATGTTTACATTATTTGTCCATTTAAAATCCATACAATAAACAAATTTGTTATGAACCTGGCCTGCGTTAATTTTATTCCAACAAAAATCTCCGTCGATTCTAGATATTTTTCTCCGACCCCTGATATTTTTGTAAGAGTTGAAATACATACTACTGTATTGAAAAACAAAATTGTATGCATTGAATTATCATATTTTATTCTCATACAATACTTATCGGAGCATACTCCTAGCTAAATCAAAACAGGAAAATTCAATGCCCGGGATTTTTCTAATATTTAGTTGTATTTGATATTTTATCTAATTTATGGTGGGTATTATTTCTCCGCTAATAAAAACAAGAACGACTATAGCAATACGTATCATGATGGTCGTGGAGTTCAAATATTTAGCGTAATCCTTCAAATTTATAACCCATATAATTAAAAATTATAGTCAAAATTAACCTATAAATTCTCCAATAAAATCGCAGTACCCTAGCTCAGCAATCGGGTAAGTGAGCCCTGGGCAGATTTGATAGCAAGTCGCAGCTGTGGTAGGGTAAGGGTAGAGGAAGCAGGGTTGCCACCACACGGGCGCCGGCGGACACAGGTGCACCAACCTAAATGCGATGGACTCCCTGCTTAATAAAACATCCCCAATAGTGAATACAGCCTCCAGATTCCCACCAACCTCTTCTCGGCTAAAAGGTTTTGGAAGTTTGGACGATAACTTGGATTTTCTTGCTGAGTGCTGTTGAAAAACAAGGAAATTATCGAGGTTTGTGGTGGAGATAAATTTCTTTGTTTATTGTGATGGGAGGTGTAAGGGGATGTAAATTTTGTTAAAAAAAGTGTCAAATAAGCTTTTTTTAATTTATTTTACAATGGTGAAGAGCAGGTTGCATACACAATTATATAGTAACCTGATATATTATGAGAAAAATATAACTAATGAATGGATGTTTATTAAATGTTCATCTTGCTGAAGTAACCATATCCAATACTTGAACTCCCAACATTACAATTTCAATACAAATAAGAAAAATCTGTTTATACTAAAATTACCCTGATGTTATAAAATGATAAAATGTAACTAATTTTAATTCATACACCATAAATGTTATACAAATTATTTGTGGATTAACGCATTTTAATTTTTGAATGTTTTGGGTCCTCTATGTTGATTGTAAACCAAGCTTCACTTTTCGCATACGTTTGAAAAGGATTTAGTATTAGTACACATTTTAATTTAATGAAATACTTTTGCTAATTGAAAATCTTTTGCAAGATATCAGTAGTATGTAGTTACAGAAGGCAATTTTCAGGAGTTCTCTCCATTAACAACATTTTTATGAACATGATCGTCAAAACACTCTGCTTCCAAAACACTGATTACAAGGGTTAAAGTTCGTAAAAAAATAACGTGGTTTCTTATGATCAGTCTAGTCGCGACACTCATTGAGGACGATTTCGACCACGATTTTAGAATCGCGCAATGAAGCTCAGGAAATCTAATCTAATGTATAACAAACGGTGGATCGATCACGAAAAGGTGCCAAGCCAATTTTATCGTTGTGTTTATTCAAAAAACAATAAACACTTCGTATCAACTAAGCTTAATAGATTTTTCACAACGCCAACCTAACTCTTCTAATCAGTTTGAACCTCAAAACTTGTTGACCCAACCCAAACAAACATTCGGCAAACAAAGTAACCAAAACAAAGCGAAAAACGAATCAATCGTAAATTACAACGATAAAAAGGCGACATAAAGTTACCACAAATTGAGTCAGCAATAGGGTTCTGGGAAAACTAAAATAAATATTTCGAAAGTAATATCTGTTGTGACTGCCAACAAAAACCTAATTACAAAATAATCCCCCGTTTTATTCATGGCGATTTTGTTGTCGGTGTAAAATTGAATTGTAAATTAGCTGCATTTTACGAGTTTTAGTTCGGTCAAAGTAAACACGCAGTGTTTGATCTGGAAAATCTCAAAAAGTGGATTGTTTTCACATAACCTCTGTTTAAACCCCCCCCTCACACCTCCCCTACCGCGGGCTTTATTTAACAGTAATACGGCATTATAAAAACAACGGCCGCGTTTTATTCTCATTTGTTTTGTTTGTTTCACACCACATAAGCCACAAAAGTGGTTAAATCATATTTTATCTCATAATTTACAACGGTAAAACACACATTTGTCCGGTGGTAATTTAAAGATAAACACGATGATTTGTTTAACATCCCAATTCGATCCGATTGTTTTTATCAGTCGAGTGCAATTTGTATCAATATAAATAACTGCGTTAGTAATTAATAATAGTAGTTGTGTATACGCGAGTATAATGGTAATTTCAACTGTTGCTGTGGTATTCATTTATTTGTATTTAGATAACTTCGATAACGAAAATGTAGTTTAACGTTTAAATTCACAATACGAGTATGGATGTAGATAAAAGTTTAATTTTACATACCGTTCTGTAATACTGATACTAATAATAGGCTGTAATAAGTTAATATTTTGTTGAAGTATCAGTCCGTCAAATAAATATATACCGTTGAAAACCCTCAAGGTTATATGGGTTACTTTTTTTGTCAAGAAAGATATCCTTCTATTAAATCCATAAATCAATGTCATATTTGTTATATCTCTATTTACTATCAGGATCAACGGAATTGGTTCCGGAAATACAACTTATATCTAGAAAGGAATTGACAAGGGGTAGTCCTGTCCTGTAGCTTGTCTGTGATCTTATAATCGCCAGTGAAGCTGTCGGGGGTTGGCAGTTCGGTTCAACCAAAAATTTGGTTAGTTAGGGACAACATCTTAAAAAGTTACAATTTAGGATTTTTTCAATTCTTCAAGGTTGTGATTTGATTGGAATAAATATTTACTATTATTATACTATTATTGCTATTATTATTTACTATACTGTTGGGATCATTTCGTATAGCATATTCTTAGAGGTAGTGCCCATTTAATTAGGTTATTCTTCTCATTTAATGTAAAAAGATAAATACAAAGTGATAGCATCACCTACCGGAGTTATGTCCTGGCGGGGGCGGGTACCTAGGCAGATATGCTGGAGGCAGATACTCCTGCCTGGGGGCGGTCCACAGCCGGGGGCAGAACCCATGGTCGGGGGCCGCGGGAGGAGAAAACTCTCCGGAGCTGTGGTCTGGGCTGCGCAAACCTACGAACAAATAGTAGATTAGATTTTGAATTAAATATTTAGGAGACTATGGAACAACTATCGCCTTGAGAGCTAGTTCAGCAAAATCAATAATTATTCAAATGTTTGTAATTAAATGTGTATTAACGGGTTTGAATGAATATTTAATGTTTAAATGCGATTTATAGAAAAACTGCATATTTGGACTCAATCATCTTTTTGAAAATACTGTTTATGTGTAGCGATAATGTGCATGTACGTGGGCATGTATTATTTATTGAATGATTATTAAGTCAATTAATGTTAATAGAACTGTAAAGTTTTTACTTTTATAAGCTTCTTTATTTAGATTTTCTTCCTATTGTAATATATTCATTCACACAATATATTGTAATATATTATATCTACAACTTACGGTAAAAAAACTATCTACAACTTCCAGCTCTCTTTAAATAATCTGTTGACATATTTTTACACCATAAAGATTTTTTTGAGGTTGTTGAGAACGAATAAGACCCCTCGCCACCAATAAGGGTGTAATGGCAGACATCCCCTTCCAAGAAATACTCATATCATCCCCTGCAGAAGCGTTGGTGTCATTTCTGTCATCGATTTCATCTCCTTCCCCTGTCTTGTATTGATAGATGTGTTTATTGATGAGTAAAGACACAGCTAAATCATAAATTACAGAATAATGTATATTTTCGATATTTTAAACAGTTCTTAATCTTTTATTTCCTTAAAAACTATAGGCCTTCACGATGATTTTTTAATATGTTAATAAATAGTAATTGTGCTGAAACTGGATTGAAAATGAAATCAACTTTATTAATGGCCAGATCGTTGCAGATGTTGCAAATCGTTTTGTAAATTGTGAAGAAACACTTAATATTACACATTTTAAGATTAATTTACACAAACGACTTTCATTGTTTTAACTCAGGCCCTCAGTTTATGCCCCTTACAATGGATAGGATTTGCAATTATCTTCCAAAATTTATTCCCCAAAATGTAACCAAAGGGTGGGATTGAGGTGAAATTAAGGGTTTATAAATACAGTTTGGTTAAGTTAAATGTGGTCGGAAACTTATAAAGCAGTATAGAAGATGGAATCTTTTATTTTCTCCTAGTATGATTTTCGTTTAAACTTCCTCATTACATAACTAGCGTAATCATTCTTAATTTCATCGTAGGTTATATAGTTATAGGCATGATCTGTGCATGCGATACTCCCTGGTGTGGACTTGTGACGTCCTGGTAATTAGACAAATTTGTAAATTACAAGGCAAAAATGTGGTTCTGATTCCACTATAAACTTTAGGTCCCTTATTTGCCATTGGCTGTATGGGTTAATTAATAGTCCTGTCTAAGGAACATGTCACAATGTCAGTAAAAAGTCTACAAGATCGCGCCACTCATTCTACACTCATCTCAATTCATACTTGGCTTAAAATACCTACCTACCTTATTTATGGTATGGTCACCGTTTCAATTAAAAGTATTAAAGTATATATCCGTTTTTTATTTAGATATGAAAAATAATCTTACAGATTTGTGTCAATAAACTTGTAGGGACAAAGTAATACAATGACCATTCATAGAGTAAAACTGTGCAATAACAGTTAGGTATAAGTAATAAAGTAAGAGACGAAAGACGTCTTAAAGGGAGCAAATCTGATGACCGGTAAAAGGCCACTAATTTATTGAGGAAAAGTAATGATCGATAAAAGCAATTTGAGCAGGATTTGTGGTAACCGACGCAATCCTCTTAGCGCATGAATTGTTAACATCTGCGAGATGTGAGACGACGATCGATACTCTCAACATATCGATGGGTCGAGAAATACAGGTTGTGAGGTATGATTAACAATAGATAGTTTTAAACAAATCGATAGGTTGAAATTGAAATACGTGTTGTGAGGTATGATTAAGTATCGATAGTCTTAAACCTATCGATAGGTCGAGTAACTTGTCGTGATATAAAAATCTATAATCATGAACATATTTTCAGCTCAAGGAGCTACTGATACGTGTTTTGGGTTATGAATAACGATCAGTAATCTTAACCATAGACCAACATAATTTCTTAACATATCTATAGACTAGGTCTAGTAACATTGTTTACCTATAGTGATGTACCTATAGATATATATTTGCGAGAACTACTAAAAAACTCGAAAACTAACTACGAGCTAGTTGTGACACTTTTTGCAGATATTGAAAGCATAGACACCGGAATTATGTCAAGCCACTAGTTAGGATGCATATTTTTGTAAGTGTGACTCCATTCATTCGTAGCAAACACTATATTTTAATTTGTCAATTTGCAGTAAATATCAAATTTGATAATATAAGTGAATGCATCAACTTGGTTTATTCATTATATTTTTACGATTCAACGTACTGTAGTTGAAAAAGATTTGTATTTGCTTCGTCTACAAGTCATGGTACATAAGATTAGTGCTTGCCTGTCGTGTGTCTTCTCTCACGTTTAAAGGAAGCTAAAGGTTTATATTTATGTTTAAAATATTTATTTATATTTAAGAACAACTAACTACCTTATTAAAGAGGTTTCATTAGATAATTCTAAAGATTCACACAACAATTACAGCAATAAGTATTTTTAATTGCATTGTAACGTGTTCTAGTTATTAATTTGTTTGTATTTACTATCACAAGTAGAAAACACACCTCAATCGTTTGACTACTCAACGTCCATTACGAATGTCAACAGCCCATAAAATTGTTTATCAAACAAAAACTCAAACGTCATGAAGTAAAGCTCTGTAAACAAATTTAATCATAAATTCAACAATAATTCCACTTACACTCTGATTAACAATCTCAAAGATTTAGTAACGCTTGGATTTTGCAACTGTTAGATAAAGTTTAATCAGTTTCAAGATAAGAAGTGATTGTTGAGGGCTTGGTAATTACTTTGTAATTATTGGTAATTAAAGGAAAGGTACAAACCTCTAAAGACCCTCTAGATTAGAGGGGATTAGCTAAGTCACTCCCAAGCTTCGACAAGCGATTTGAAGTTGATTTGCTACTTAAGAGATTTACATTTCTCTGAAACGTAAACCGATGTTAATTCAGGTTTTGAAGACTTGGAGCATTTAGTTTAACAAGTTTGGGCTTGAATCGTATCAACTGATTTGGACATAATGCCAAGGGCAGATGAAAAATATTTTATTGTGACTGAAAGTGAAAACATGCTCTAGATTTAATTTAAAATAAATCGTAAGAATATGGACTTGCAGTTCCGTTAGTATTTCTTTTTTTAGTTTTAACTTACGTATTCGTATCCTTTACCAATACAAATATCAATACTCAAAAATACAAATGTACGTGGAACAAACCATATTTTTAAGTATTAGCTTTGACTAGTCAATGGTATTAAGTAAGCTCCGCGCGTGTAAGGTTACTTCTGCCTAAGCATGAAACTTGAATTTTATTTACCAAACATTATAAGAATCCCATAAAAACAATGAATTATCACACCTAAAAGACATCATCGACATCACATTCCTAAACAATGATATAAAAAACGTATCTATGTATAGCATAAATACATTTCTCTCCCCGGAACAACTCTCTACCCTGATTAAACATACGTATTTTATTTGCTGCAGTTTACTTGTCATAGCGTGGTTTGTGGTAGTGTGTGTGGGGAACAGGAAGTCAAGATTGCTGTAGTGGGATGAAAGTCGCCGCCGCTGTACAATCTCAGCCTCTGATTGGTTGATGGTCCAGGAACAGGATACGAAGGAAATTTAAATAACTCAAAGACAAAATACTTACTGTTACTAATAATGTACAAGAACCGTGTAAAATTGAGTACTTTGCTAGTGTGAACTCATTGTTACGGACACCGTTTGTCCATGCTAATTTAGGCTACTATGGTGTTGGGCAATGTAATAATTTAGTCCTGTATATTATCATTTACACATATGTAGGTAACGGTTTCCAAAATTTAGCCTTCGAATAATATGCTACTGCATATCAACTACGAATTTCTTGACATATCGGTGATACTGAATTTTAAAGGTTACTGCACAAGAAATATACAGTAACGTTATTTTCAAAAATAACCAATGGGGTTTTATAAATAAAAGGAACTATAGATAAATTTATCCAACCTTCCATTACTAGAGAAAAACAGAGCGTTTTTTCCAAGGATTTAGTCTTTTCTCTTACATATACAGCCTTTGGTTCCCATCTTTTAAATTTTACATTTCTATCAGTAATTTTATAGACGAAACATACCTTATTAATTTGTATAATGCATTATTTAGATGGAGTAAACAGATAGATATTAAAAAAACCAAACCAGTAGATTTATGAGATAACTTATGCCGAATAATAACACTCTTCATTCTAACCTAATTTCAAATTTTGATCCAACGTTAAAAATTGTCAACGTCTTTTATTAAATTGTATATTATTGTTGTTCTAAACAAATCATTATGAATTCGAACAGTAAAATTTGATAAAAGTGTTAGGTGTTTATACTACGCTATTACACAGAAGACAAACACATATGATTTGGCTGGCGTAATTATTGTTGATTATCGACTATAACTGTTGCCTTCCCTTCATCACGTGCAATGGAGTAAACGCTTCGTTTGCACATGTGTTGGAATTACGTTGCTAAAAAAAAAATTGGATGATAAAAGTATTTTATAACATTCGTAAACCAACACCTAGGATTGTATGATAATTGATATGAAAAAAAAAAATTGTGTTGTTTAATGTGTGTATACAAAATGAGCGATCTAGTTCAAATTTGTACCGGCTTGGTATAAGTAATGGAAAATGTTTTTTATTGTTTGTGTTATAAATGATCGTGCCCTAATTATGTGTATCTCAAATATAATAAACCTCTTATAATAGCCAATTAAATACACCTCTAACTTACTTAAGTATGTGTTACGAATGTTTATATATATATATATATATATAAATATATATAAATAATAGTGCAGTATCCTTCACCAATGCTCGTTCCTTTACTGTGAATACAAAATGTTTTTCTTGTTCATTACTGTAGCTCTATAAACAATGAACCTTTTTCAAACCTTCGCTATTATTTGTTTATAAATATAGAGAAGTTAAAAGTTTTAACAACCAATGGTTTAAATTTTTACATTGAAGTTAACATTCTTTAATAAAACATTCATACTTTAGTTATGCATTATTCTTCTACAGCACATCGTTAATTGAAAATTATTTGAAAATTCCTAAAAGTGCACCAGATAATATTGTAGGTTTTTATACAGTAGGCCTACATCAACATATATTACCGTTGACTATATAGTCATTGGTACTACATAAGCCATTGACAGATAAAGTTTTGTTCCCACTCAAATTCAAATAGAAAAAAACACAATTAGGTGAGCAGCCCTTCTTAGTTTTAAAAACTATGGATCTTATATAGGAACTATGTAATTTTATGTTGTACGTGTTTTGTTTTCGTACATTTTTGATTGAAGACAGACGAAATCTTTCCTCTTTACCAGAGGTTCGATGATGAAGGCCAACGAATATGAGGGATAAAAATAATGTTCATTAAGTATAAAACTATCTGATTTCACAATGAATATAGTCTATTTGAAGATTTCTAAGCTATAGGCCTATAGATAAATAATTCCACCAAGTAAAATATCGTGTAGTTTATAAAGCTGTAAACAATTATAACAGCTGTTAGGTGAAAGTTGTGAAAGAAAAGCAAGCCGCATTTAACCTTTTGCATATTTACAATTTATGAAGAAACTATTTCCATACATTTCAATGAGTCGAGATTCAATGAGTTGGTAGCGCGACGGATCATCAAACTTGGTAGCGACTGTGCGAGTTCGCATCTCTTTACTGTCATTTACTTTTTATAATTATCGTCCATTACAGTAATACAAGTTCACCCTTTGTATTAAACATATTGGCCAAAAACCCACCTGTATACTGTGAGAAAAATAAATTGTTAAAGTGGTTGTCAACGTCTTTTATTTATTTTTTACAACTATATTTACTTTGCATTTTGTTCTTCATTATGTATTGTATTATTTGCAATCGGGTAAATAAGGGTAGACTAGTATATTTTTGAATAATCACACTATTTACAACAATATATACAATTAATAATCAAATGTATCATTTCTAGTAAAGTTTATAAATATGATAGATTTCAAATAAAAAAACAAACCGTCTCATCTACCACTTTTAATTGAAATTTATTCAATGGTACATTAAATGCCTAGTTAAGTACCTGTTTCAATGACAAAACCAGTATTCAAGGGATTTAAAGTTAGATTGCGTACAAATTATTTAACATGACTATTTAACTACACTTAGATCAATCCAGCATTTAAATATACTGTAGGAATAAGAAAAATACATTGTACAAGATGACGGAATATCATGGTATAATTATATTTAATTATATTTATCCAACGCAGACACATCAGAATGTAGAAGGCGAGTAAAGTAGGGAATGGATGAGATGACATCTCTGTTACAAGGATCAGCTGTTTCTAAATCCAGCCATTTATTAAAACTAGAGGTCGTCCAGTGGTTGAAAACTCGACCAAAAATATTTAATGTACATACTTCTCTATTTTCACCCTACGCTGTAAATAAAACATATGATTGGAATTTCTTCCATTTGTTTTGATTTTCTGTTTAAATTGCGTTGTTATTCCGTCAACAGCATGGCAACCCATTATGTCCATGCTAATTTTTTTATTATTTTAAATTCATTTTTTGAGTTTATTTTTAGCCTATTTTAATTTACGATGGGATTCCGCACATTTACAGGAAAATGTCTTTCCAACATTCTGCGTAGATTTCCCCTGCAATACACACGAGCTGAGGAAAAATGTTTTAAAGAAACATGCTTGCCTATTAACAAATAGATCCCAATAATACCACACACTTAACAATATCATTCTATAAATACCTTGTTTGCCTTTAGGAGTGACTACCCGAAATGCACTGCTGGTATCAGCGCCAGAAACTGACGGCATTTTGACGTCCGGACGCGGCGATTTGACGGCAAGACTAAAGTCCAGGGGGGCCAAAACCGAGGGGGACACTTCCATAGTCACCTATAGCGGGGGCATCTCGACTGCCAAACGCACGAAATACTGCAAAAATATTTTGATGAAAAACGTTAATTGTTAACCATTTATTTTTAGGTTATGTATATAAAAAAATTACGATTGCAGATGTTTAGGACCGCGTCAGTGTTGTACTCGTGTGATACTAGCTGCTGCTTGACACCGCACAAGACTGAGTCATTTGAGTCACTGAGTCAGCGACTCACTGATTCTGCTCGCGACCGCTAGGGGTGTGGCTTCCCCCTCCACTTTAGGCCCCGCCCCCTCCCTCCCTTGCAATTACATACTTGATTTCTCTTTTAAAATCTCGCTATGTTATCGGCGGCTCCTAGTTGGTCGGGATTTTCCATACTTGACGCCGTTTATCTGCTGTTTAACCAACGCCATCTTTCTAGACGATTGAAGCTTGAGATTTCTTTCTTATAGATTTTTGTGGGTTACTGTGAGGTTTATTGCAGTTTGTAATGAATATGTTCTGGTGTATGTTTTACTTTCGTTACCATGCTTGTGTTCCTTGGATCAGTTTATGGTTTATTTTATATGATGAGGGCTGTTTTATTGACGGGTGGATAATTATGTTTCCGAATCGGATGTATCGTATGTTATTTCTTAAAATAAAATAAAAAAACTTACAACATTCTGTAGTTGCTTGAAAAAAATTAAACGCGTTATTTAGGCGATTGATAAAACAGTAAAAGTTAAATGTCCCTTAGTTTAAACAAATATTCAATCTGTGCATTGCTGCTCTAAAGATTATATAAATGTAGCCTATGTGTCTTGATTGCTATAAGGTAGTTGATTATTTTATGGATATTTAAATATATAAAACTATTTTTTTATACAAATGTTAAGTAAAAATGCTTTATTTATCAAATAAAAAAATTTGTCATGTCAATGCATAACTCAACACATGTTTGGCATGTACCTAGTACATGCCTATGTACCCTGCCAAATATCACATGCCTCCATGCCTACACTCTCTAAGACGTGCTGAGATTCTATTTCTTTGGAAAAACTTATTGAACTTTACCATGTATTTACCCTTACGTAAATTTACATTGTGAAATAATATTTCATTATAAGTAACGTTAAATACATTTACAAGCTTTCCCATAGAATAGTATCCCCTTTCGTACGTTTATTTTATTACCACTTTTAGGTTGTTTAATAGCAAACTACACGAATATAAGTTCGATGGAAATAGGGATTTAGTTGAAAATGCAAAACAAAAACTCGTAGTCTTAATTCTCTCAACAAATACAGTATAGCATAGTGCTCAATCCCAAATCCCAAAGTTCCCTGTTCCAACTCTAGAATTATCTAAAATCTGGACCCTATATCACTTGTTCTTGATCTTTTATTGTTGAGGATCAGAGTAAGGCAAAGATTATACCCTTGAACGACCTAGTCATGGACTACGATTAAGACTAATTAAAACGTTATCAAATGATTGACCATCTAATAAAATTCGGTAGTAATTAATTCAAAAAACGTCAGACTAATACTATTCATAACAAGTTCCCAGATGAAAAACAAAGCAACCACGCAAGACTAAATGGTTCTCTGAAGATTTTCTCTGTGTGTGTGTGTGTGTGAGGAGTTTATTTGTATTGGTGACAAGCTAACCCACATTCTCTTAGAGATTTCTTGTAATGAAGTCCGGGCTTGTTTATAAGACGTGGAACGCCGCTCTGCGATTGGCTGAGCTAGGCCCGCCCACAATCACTGCCACCCTTCCCCCACCCACCCAATGTCTCTGTCTCTGTCGCACACCGGGAGGTTATTCATGTGATTCTCCTGCTCAAGGGTACCAATCTTGAGCCGTTTCTTGTAAAAATGTTAAACTGCCGAGTGTTTGACGAGGTGTAAAGATTTGTTGGTAACGTCATCAATTTAAGGGTTAAACTTGGATATTTGACTGTTAAAACTCAAATCAACCAAGAAGATTGTTTTTACACTCTGCAAATTTATGTTTTGTTCTAACGTATTTGTTTGTATGTTGTGCAATGAAACTAATTCGATGAAGAATATATATTTTATTTTATTTTATTTTATTTTATTTTATTTCCAACGGCAGCAGCCAATTTACAAAGATAAACATGATGGTTGAATACAACAAAATAGGTAAGCAAAATTTGATGATAAATATAAGTTAACAAAGATATAACAGGTTATAAATATCCAAAACGTAACAACAACAAAAAAATAAGATTAACAAACAACAATAAATACTCTAACATAGCAACAACAGAAAATAAAGATTAACAAACAACAATAAATTAATTACTAGTCTTTCCCAGAAAGAAGAAGAGAGGAGGCCTGCCGACGAACCTGCTGAAGTCCATCGAAAAACAGGTCACACCCAGACGCAACTCGATTTCCCAGGCGAGTAAACCTTGCGAAAGGACTGTTGAAGTCGAAGTTGGTTGAGTGGTATCTTCGACCCAGCAGATCTCGAGATCTTGTGTTTGTAGGCACTCTGAGGTCGATTTCAGCTAGGAGATCTGGACAGTTCATGTGACCATTGACTATCTTCCAGAGAAGAGTAACATCAGCCACGTCACGTCGCAGGGCAAGAGGTGACAAGTTCAGATTGCTGGACAGTTCCTCCACAGGCACATCAAGATAGGCAAAACCCAGCCGGACACCAACCAAACGAAGAAAACGCCTTTGTAGAGCCTCCAGTCTCGTCCTATTGCCAACAGTGTAAGGCGACCACACGGGACTTGCATATTCCACTAGCTGTCTCACAAGGGAACAATACAGAGAGCGAAGAGCAGAAGGGTTGTCGATGCCTCTGGAGAATCTTGCTATGAAGCCAAGCATCTTGTTTGCTTTGTTACTGATGTGATCTATATGCCCAGAAAATCCCATGTCGCTGGAAAAAATAACGCCTAGGTCTTTTATACACTGGGACCGTGGAATGGATGTACCAGAAATGGAGTATACGTACATGACTGGGGATTTGATGCGGTGATAGGTTATACAAGAGCACTTACTGGGATTTACAGACATGTTATTCCTGACACACCAATTCTCAATTTCAGAAAGGCTATTTTGAATTTCTTGAGAGTCTTCTGGTGTAGACACAGTAGTGAAAATCTTCAGGTCGTCAGCAAATTGTAAGGCCTTTACAGTTAAATTGTCTAGTAGGTCATTGACAAAAACATTGAAGAGGCAAGGTCCCAGCAAAGAACCTTGTGGAACTCCTGAAGAAGGTGAGAACTGAGTGGAAGTGGTAGAACCAATCCTCACGACAAGAGAACGTTTTTGAAGATAACTAGAAATCCATGACAAAAGAGGTTCAGCCACTCCGTAGCCCAGCAACTTAGACACAAGAATTGTATGGTCGACCTTGTCGAAGGCTTTTGCCATATCAATGTAGGCTGCATCAACTTGGTAGTTCTTGCGAAAGGCAGACAAGACATATTCTTGAAAGAGCAGGAGATTGGAGACAGTAGACTTGCCTTTCATAAAGCCATGTTGGGAAGGATGGATTATTTTGGATAGAAAAGGATTCAGTCTATCTACCACGATACTTTCAAAGACTTTGCCAATTGCCGGCAGAATAGTGATTGGACGGTAGTTCCGTATGTCGCTGGGATCATTTGCTTTATGTAAAGGAATGATAAAGCCCGACTTTAAAGAGCTAGGGAAGATTCCTTTGTTAAGTGATTCGTTGAACAACACTGTGAGGGGTTCAGCTAAGAGAGATCGGCAGTGATGAAGCATAGATGGCGGTATATTGTCAATTCCAGCTCCCTTTGTAGTGTCCAGATTCTTAAGCTTGCTGAGAACTTCTTCAGTTGAGGTTGTTATGACACAGAGAGAATCGAAGACGGGATAGCTAAAGCTAGGTGAAACTCGTGACGATGGAGAGTAGACCGAGTTGAAATAACTGGAAAACAGCTGACATATGCTTGTTGTGTCACTGGCCACTTCGTCATCCAAATGCAGACTAGACGGCATGTCAGGAGTATTTCTTTGAGCCTTAACTAGTCCCCAGAAAGCTCGTGGATTAGAAGATATGTTTGATTGAACATTGGATAAATATCGAATGTGGCATTCACGAGACAGCGACCTACAATTATCTCTCAGCCTTGAGAATTCATAATAATGGACAAGATTGAAACTTCTCTTGAAACGTGCATGCGCAGCTTTCTTTTCAATAATGCATTTTTTTAGGTCATCATTAAACCACCTAGGGAAGCGTGAGATACCAAATTTCTTCATCGGACTTGCATTTTTGACGATTTTCTCTAAGGAACTTTCCAAAAGATCAAACTTTTCATCAGTTGAGATCGGCTGGTGAATAAATCCCATATCTGCTTCCTGAAGGGCTATAAAAGCAGCGGGGAGGTCACATTTCCCCAAGTTGTAGCCGCTGTAGCTGTTGTCACAAGTAGAAGGCATATAGCACTCAAGAGTAAGGGACAGAGGAGGGTGATGAATTTCAGGTTTAATCAACCAATCGTTGGCCCTGATAACTTGCACTTCACTATCAGAATGGAAGACCAAGTCCAATGTTACTCCTCTATGGTTTTGAACATGATTTATCTGGAAGAGAGAGTGCAGAGAAGACATGTCACGGAGGTATTCGCAGCAATGTTGAGGAAGGCCAGATACAGGTAAGTTGACATCGAAGTGAGGCAAGTTGAAGTCTCCAAAAATGAGTGTCTTCTTTGGGAAATTTGCCAATTCGACTGTGCTATATATGTGCTTGAAAATGTCTTCAAAAATTAAATATAACCTTTGAATCCTGCTAAGCCATTACCATTAGCACAGCCACAGAGGTGGCTGTGCCATTAGTCATAACTATTTTTCTTCTTGTCTCTTTTATGTACCAAACATTGAAAATGGTAGTAGCATATACCCTTCATAACTGGGCCCAAAATGTCCTTGACCATTGAAATAAAAAAGCTCTTACATTATAAAAAAAATATAAAAACATTTTATACGGAAACAAATATAGAACCCATTTT